AGATTTGCCTTTATTCGCCTCCTTCCAGCCTTGATTGCTCATTTGGACTTGGAGTTATTTCAAATGCATGTTAAAATTATTTTCTTCAATGGTACATTTGAGGAAGAAATATATATGGATCAACCTATTAGTTTGTCTCAAAAGATCAAGAAAATAAAGTTTTTCATCTTAAAAGATCCATATATGGTCTCAAATAGTCTTTTAGACAATGATATTTCAAATTTCATGAAGCCATTACTTCGTTTGACTTGTCCGTAGTAGATGAAGACCATTCTTTCGTAAAGAAAATAACGGGAGGGATTATGTTTCTATCCTTATACGCTGATGACATACTATTAGCTGAAAACAACATGAAGATAATCAATGCCACTAAACATTGGTTGTGATCTATTTTTAAGATGAAGGACATGAGTGAAGCCAAGTTTAACTTGACGTGAAAATAATGAGATATCGTCCCAAGAAACTTCCAGAATTATGCCAATAAGCATATATTAAGAAAGTCTTTGAACGATTTCAGATGCATTACTCCAAACCCATTGACACTCCTGTTGAGAAAGGTCTAACCTTAAGTATTTATCAGTGTCGAAAGATAGATGAAGAGAAAAATAAAATGAGCAACTTTTCTTATGCTAGTGCAATAGGCAGTTTGATGTATGTCATGTTATGTACATGGTCAAACATTTGTTTTACGGTTAGTTTGGTAAGTCGTTATCAAGGTAACCTTGGACCTGCTCATTGGCAAGCAGTCAAGAGAATTTTGCGCTACTTTCGTGGTACAAGTGACTTGCCCTCTGTTATCAAGAAGGAGACTTAAGGTTGAAAGGATATTCAAATGCAGATTGGGTTAACGACTGGAATGAGTTGAAGTTGACCTCAGGATATATTTTTGTCTTTGGCGAAGGTGTCATATCTTGGTGTAGTAAAAAGCAAGACTGCATTATCTACAATGGAAGTGGAGTATGTTACTTGTTATCTTACTGTACAAAAGGTAATTTAGTTAAGAAGATTTCTACAGGATCTCAACATCACCCCTAAAATTGATGAATCTATACAAATGCATTGTGACAATACTGCTGCTATCCAATATGCTCGAAATCCAAAATTTCATAGAAAAACCAAGCATATTAAGAGGTGTTATCACTTCGTTCGAGATGCCATCTAAAAAAAGGAAGTTGTTATTAAATATATATCCACTAGCAAAATGGTTGATGATCATTTGACTAAACTTATACCTAAAAATACTTTTCGGGGTCATGTGAAGAGTATAGGTTTATATAGATTTTAATTTTCAAGTGAGATTTAATACTTAATGGACATATATTTTTATGTATTGATCATTCATGAAATAAAAATTGTTATTTTCTTATGAAATATTCATGAACATAATTGCATAATTAGGCACATAATAATATCACTAGGCTTTATGATCGACCTTATCACACGGTGATCTTCCTAACACTTGAGTAGCGGTAAGATAAGATTAAATTATATTGGCGTTAAGCAGGTGCAATATGAACCATCTTTATACTTCTGTCGTATTAATGACAAAATATTAAATTTTATAGTCGTCTTAATATGTCTAAGATGAGACTCTAGAAAGTCGAGTATAAAAAATATATAAATTCATACTAAAGCCTTAGAGCTGAATATCGAGTATCAAGTCATACATTGAGTATGAAGTCATACATTGAGTATGTTGTTCAAGTGGCTCAAGTTAGATATTTGAGTAGTATCTAGACTTATGATTCACATGACATAGAAGAGTGACATGCCCAACTGAGTGGGAGCTATGTTGTGACATACATATCATATTGTATGTGTTATATGACGACCGATATAAGGAGTGACAAAATAATTTCCTATTTTGTCACTATATAAAATCTAAAATCTACGGACTCTTGTGTTTTTCTTGTATGATACCCTTCAACTTTGAGTTATCACAGGAAATCAAAATTTGATGTCGTTACTTTAATATGTTTCCAAGGGCTACGATCTATAAGGTCCAACAGAGCATGTTAGAAAAGCAGTCAAGTTGAGATGGATTGTTATGAATGTCTAAGGAAGAATCTTTCTGACATCATCACATAAGCATATGCAATTATATTTTGTACATAATTAAGTAATATAATTATAGCATAGAGAGACAATGTATGTTAATGGTGATGTTCAAATAATCTGGGGTATTATACATATAAAAGTATTATATTAGTTATATGGTGACTTAATATAACACTATTTATTATTTTTTGGTCGCACAACCCATATCCTGTATGAAGCGTTAGAGATATATTGATGTTGTAGTATATCGTAGTTAGTGTAGCTTGTGTGACCGAGTGAGAGATGTTATATAAAATTAAAAACATCCACAACACATATTGTAAAAAGACACGACTTTTCATAAATTTATAAGAGAGAAAGCCTTCTTGTAAAAAGATATGACTCTTCGTGAGTATATAAGGAAAAAAAAATATTTTTGTTCACAAAAAAGGAAAGCAGAAAATATTCAGAAAAAAATATATTATCATTCTCTCTCTTACGTTAACTTAAACCATAAACAAAGTTGGATTTTGGGGTATGAAACTTACCCGAAACTCTAGTAGCATCCAAGAGAAAACTAAAAGCATCAACAATTGTTCTCTGTGGGCAGAAAATCAAGCATCTCATCCTATTGATTATGTATTAAAGTTAATCCTAATTTTCTAACACTTTCTAATAAAAAATATGAGAACTTACAACAATTCGTAATTACCCTTATATGTTTATTAGATAAACTCTAATATTTTTAATTGAAACTTCTATATTTAATGACTATGTGAGTATATACATTAAACAATAATGTAATTTTCTAATAAGAAATATGAGAACTCACAATAATTTATAATGTTTTATAGATTAAATAAATATTGTCCTTCTCAAGAAATAGTTGGTATTTTCTTATAAATAGTTTAATTGTTGAAGGGTGAAATAAATCTAATCTCATTTCTAAGTCACCCATAAGATCAAATAAATAAATTATTGAATTAGATTATTAGAAATTTAATTATTTTCACATTATGTAAATAATGTATATTAAAAAAATAAAGATTAACTTTCTATGCCTTTTGTCAAATTTTGTATGACCTAGTCCAACACTCATTGTTCCCACATATAGATGACAATGAGGAGAGGACACAAAACCAGACACTTTCTCATGTATAATTTTTAAATGAATTGGAAATAAATTATAGTTTTTGCATTAAAATTAATACAAGAAAAAAATAATATGTATATAATATATAATTACTTTTTAAAATAATATATATATATATAAATATTTAGTGAAGTGGGATTGAAAAGAAATGAGTTGTGAGAGATATTATTATAGAAAAATATATAAATAATATTAACAAAGTATTATTATGATTATAATTATTATAGGTATGTATTTAGCTTATATATTTTAATTTTTTTGAATATAAATGAAAATATAATGTAAATAAAATAAAGATTTAAATAAAAACATAATTTTTTATTTTAAGTCAATACTATTTTTAACAAGTCAAATTCACATTGATGATTTTCTATTGGGGGTCAGAAACTTTGAGTCAAACCTCCTTATTTTGACCTCAATTTTAAAAGACTAGGATGGGATATGACTAATTTCATTTTATTTTTGACTAATTAATTATAGACAATATTAATTTTAATTTTATAGTTTTATATGCTTAATTATGACATTAGACATGCAAGCCTATATAAATAATTTTTATATTTTTATATATAACATTTATGTTCTATTTAATAATTTGGATATTCTTTTTTTATTTGTAGTGAATATATTAGATTTTTAATTTGTTAAGAATTAATTTTTGTATCTAAAAAATTAGGTGCTATTGTAATTAAATTTAATTTAATTTACATTTTAAAATAGTGAAAGGAACAAAATCTAATAAATAAAAAAGTAATGAATTATGTTCTTGGGAGATCATTCGAATTAAATCATAGATTGGGTAATTTACACTAAAATTGAGAAAAAAAAAATAGAAATTATAATCATGTTTCTAAATTTTGAAAACAGTATATGTAGCTAATAGAAAAGACATGAGACTGCATAGAGTGTCTATATTCATTTTTATACTTGTTCTGTTAATGAAAATTATAATTTCGTACTATGCCTAAGTAGCGATATAAGATAATAGAAAACAAAATCAATAGTTCAGTGTTCTAATATCGTGCTAAAATCTTAACTTGTTGATGAAAGATTCCTCGAGCCAAAATGCAGCATTTGCTTCCAACTGAAGCAATTCCTAGTATTCTCACATACAAGAGTAAGAGCTGGGGGAAGGTTTACAATGGAGAACATAAACGACTTAAAAATTTTGACAGAAACTGGAAACCTTTCATGGTTGACAATGAGCTTGAGATTGGAGATGCCTGTATATTTGAGCTTATAGAAAACAACAAGAAGATGCTCAAATTCAAAGTTCACATTCTCAGAGGTGACATGCTGCCTGAAGTGTTAGCCTCTAGAGATGATACAAGTGCAGAGACCCCTAGTATTTTATTTAGCAGGTTCTCTCGTAAAATCCATTTTCGTGTATATGATATTATCACTTGATATTTTAATAAACTAATTGAAAATTTGTAATCAGATGTTCTGTTTCTAGAATTTTTATTCATAATATTTAATATACAACATTTTAATATATATATATACATATATAGGAGTAAATCAGAGAAGAAAAGATTTTCTAATTATGAAAATAGATTGATTCTTCTTTATAGAGAGATCCTCCTAAAGATAATAATTTATATAGGAATTGAACTTCTACAAAAAGCAAGATTTCTACAATAACAAATATGGTTTGAAGATTGTATATAGGAAAAAAAAAAGCACATTGTAGCCCATATCTATATCAGACTTTTAGAAATAATTAGTAGGTTTTCAAATGTTTCGGAAGGTGATTTTTCTTTTCTCCTGCAAGTAAGAGTAACATTTCTATCATTCTATGGAAGTTTCCTGGCTCAATTCAGTGTTTACCTCTTTTTTTGAACTGTAATGCATAGGAAAGCTCCTAGTAACAGAAAAAGGGACTTTAGTTTTTAAACTAAAAGTTTTCTGTGTAACTTCTATTCCTCTCGAGGTGGTCATAAGCAAGCCTTGTTCTCAGGAAAAGCATAAAACTTGAGAGAAGTCCAAAGGAGGAAATGAATCCCCACCATATAAATGTCTTCAAGTAACACTGCCTGCCCATGCACACCATTGCTTCCCCCACAAGGAAGCTTTCCGGACCCGGAGTCGTAGCATTTTTATCATATAACATAGCTGCAAGAAGGCCATAGAGGAAGGAACCAATAGGTATGTTGGTGATAAGAATGTTATGATTAACACTGACACTGTTTGGTCCAAAAAGCTCTGATGTTATTGACACAGCTGCTGAAAATATAAACCCTGAGCTTAGGCCTATCAAGCCTGTAGCAATTTGCAAGACTGCCTCACTGCCTGATGCAGCAAGCAGAAAGAAAGCAATTGGTGTTGGTAATACAGCAAGGGCTAGCCATCCAGTTCTTGCAAAGTACACCTTGCTGCATTGGTAGAAATTTTCAGTCGTTAGTCTTTCTTATTCATAGATTAATTTTGAGTGTTTTTATTCCAATCCTGCAAAATGATTTCTTGTAAGGGAACTAAAAAGAGCATGCTTTGGCATGTGAGTTCTGCTGGAGAGGCAGTTTCTCATAATTTAACTAACTTATGAAGATATATTTACACAGACTCATTTTCTTTAGCTAAGAATTGCATTACTTTCAGGGTCGTGTAACCACATCTTAGTTTGGTACCAATTTGTGTATAAGTTATGCACCATGACATATGGTTTATTGAGAATTAGATAGGCAATGACTGATATGGTTAGGGACGAGATTTGGGCTTAGAAGAGTATTAATAACGGAAAGAAACACGTTAACTCATTTCCCTAACCGTACTTGGATGGTTTAGAAAGAAGAAATATGAGAGCTTTTAAAGGGGTAGAAGATAATTTTGAGAGGGTTAGATATAGATAGTTGTAGACCTTAAATTTATTAATTATAAATCATTCTTTTTATTCTATAGAGAATTTTAGAGATCTGATTAATTTGATTGACATGTAAGTATTTTTGTACATGAATTGACATCCCTTTAGTGTTTGTGAATTAACGATATATATATCATATTTTATTTTATTTAAAGAAAAAAAAAAGAGCTGCACTACTTTTCTACGGTTGCTGAATTCTAAGTGAGTGTCTCTATTGTCAACTAACTACACTATCCGCTATCTCTATCTAATGAACAATTAATTAAACCTTAATAATCAATAATTAATAAAAAATGAATAGATATACTAAAATTTGGCATGGTAAGGACATACTTGTGCAGAAAATCCGGAGCTGCTGAAAGTAGACGACCGAAGAATGAACACGATGAATAGAGCGTGACTAGTGAATTAAGGTGAGAATCATATCCAAGTGACTGTGTGATCTGTCCTACGTTATTACTATAAACAAGTCCAATGGTGCCGCCACAGAAGTAAGCTAAATAATATAGCCAGAAGTCCCACCTCTGCACAAGCAATCTTGCCGAGTGTTCTTCCCCAACCATGCTCAACCCACCTTTCCCTATCACCTCCCCAACACACCCTTCTTTTTCCATCACATCAAATGAACTTCTTCCACTCAAGCTGCCATCATGATCGCTCGCCATGAGTTCTTTACGAAGCTCCACAAGATCATGGTCATCAAAGCTGATGATGCTTGTGTTGGTATGTTGATTTGCTCGGTCCTTGGCATATACAATGCCAGGCAAACACAAGGGTAAAAACAAGAGAAACAGAGCTCCTCCTAGCAGAAATCTTGCTCTTGATGTAGTTGTAGATAGAGAGTTTAGAAAAAGCAAGTAGAGACCAGTAATGACAGCAATAATGTTGAGTAGCAGAAAAATGGAGGAGTCATGGCGAGTAGCATCAGGAGGATGCAATGGCGGTTGGGAGAGGATAATAGGGAGAGTTAAGCATGAGATGCAGAGTGGGATGAGTGCGTTTGAGAAGAGATAGAGAGTGTCATCTTCATATTTGATTGCGTTTGTGATGAGAGTGTAAATTGCAGCGCTGACGCCATTGAAGCTGATGGAAAGAGATAGTGCAAGTGCCTTGTTTGTTGGGAAATTCCGAATACATAATACAAAGCAGACTGTGTTGAACCAGCAGATGCTGCAACCGGATAATAGACATAGAAGAAAAACCTGCAAGATAAGTGTTTATTATCATAATTGTAAGTGTAGAATGAAAAGAACTTTCTCCTCTAAATTATACACATCTTGGGTTAGTTTCAGAATTGTGGGTTCTGTTGTGGGTTATATTGCAATTTAATTCAAAATTTGTGCCTGTAATTATTGATTTTATAAAATTGTTTCAAAAAGTTAGTGTTATTGAAATTGTTTTTTGAGAAATAGCAGAAATTATTCTCGAATAACATAAACAAATAAATTTTCTAAATATAGTACACCAAAATCATTTTTCTTTTTCTCTATGTCAGAATTTAATTAATATATTTCATTTGCAGAAAAAGATTTCTGTAGAATGAAACTAGATAGCACTATTGAGTAACGAGGCTTTGGATTATTAACGTATATCACAATTTCAAACCAAAACACAAATGGGAATCCATAAAGCAAACTTTTAAGAATGGTAGTTTAAAACGTGGTGCATGGGAGGACCGCATATCTATATATTTTAAAAAACTAACAATAAAAGTATTAATTATTTAATTCAGAAATGGTTGTTAATTATTTCCTCTACTTGGTACATACAATACAATATATTTTATTTCTTATTATTTTTTTTAAATCAATGTGTTATTATATCATATCTTTATTCAATAAAATATATAAAAATTGCATATTTATGAAATAAGTAAAGTACCAAAAATAATTTTTTAAAAATTAAAATTTATAAATAAAATATTTAGATTTAAAAATTAAAACTATTTTCACGGACAACCCGATGCCTGAATAATTTTTATCCACGTGTCAATTTAAAACAAAATTATTTCGTGCTCAGTAGAATTAGGAGACTTGTCCGTGACTCTAATTTCCCATATCCCAGCAGGCACGAAACTTGTGAAGGTGATGATGATGTCCATACATAAATATAGAATATACATCCAGTGGGACATCATTCATAACCAATAAAAATTTAAATAAAAAAAATAGAATTATTATGCTTAATTAATAAGTAATATTAAAAATAATAAAATAAATTATTTATTTCCTTAAAATTTGATATTTATTATAATTTAATTTTTAATTTCATTATATTTTTTCCTATAATATTTGTTTATTTAATTTAAACATCTATTTTTTTATTTTTAATAAAAAATCAAAATAATTAGAAGATATTTATATGATTTAAAAATTAATTTAATAATAATATTAGTTTAATAAAATTTATAAATTAATTATCAATTCATTAATTTAATTAATTATTTTAAAAAAATATATATTTTTTTAAATTTTCTTCATTAGACGCAGGAAGATTCTTAATCATTCAATTAAATGAACTACATGACAAATTAATCTTAATAGAATTTTAATTCCTTTTGATGACATCAAAGTCCAATTATCAATCAGTTGGTTCAACAATTAATTGACAATATCAGTTGTACTAGTTTTTTAATTTGAGATTAATTTCTAAATTTAAAATAATTAAAATATTACGATTGCAGATATCTCCGTTAGTTAAAACTTATCGAGAAACATCTTCTAGAAAATTCTATTAAAAAAGAGAGAATGAAAAGTAAATACCAGAAAGTAGGGCAAAGTGATGAAGTTGTGAATGAGGAGCCACTGGAGTCCGTAACCAACGAGTCCGATGAAGGCAGCCGAGAGCATAACCGTCCATAGAGGGAAGTAGATGAGAGAGACGCCGGAGCACCATCCGAATAGCTTCCCCATGTCCGATGCCACCGACAAATAATTCAGTTGAACCTGCGATATACCTAGAACTGATTTCAACGTCGACGAGTATGATGAGAAATCAAAATTCGTCCCTGTAAACGCCTGAATCCACGTCGTAGCCACCAGCACCATCCATTTTCTTGACTGCTCCGCCATCGATATTCCCAATTTTTCCCTCTCCGAAAACTGTAAGAGCAGAGAATCTTACAAAACGCTTGGTTGTAATCTGAAATCGCAGTGGATTTTACGCAATGCAAGTTTTCCTGTTCATAAAATAGTTTCAACTTGAGAGAGAGAGAGTTTGTCTTAGAAGAAAAGTGAAAATGATTCGCTTACCTGTCACTCTCGAGCAGCTACCATACTACTATGAACTATTTGCGGTTTGATTGGTTGATGGAATTCTTTATATAACGTTCAATTTTTTAAATATTAATATTCTAACAGAAATGAAGAACGATGTGGTTATGTGTGTGTGGTCGGGTTCTCGGTCGTTATTGATTAAAAATAGTGAATTGTCGTGCTCTGGAGAACGAGCTATTTATTGTGATATTAATGGCCCAGTGACGGGTCGCGGGGTCGATGCCCCGGAAAAGTTACACTAACTAGATAATGCATATATATTTATAAACAGACACTGTGAATATGCGGGTGTGTGTGTAATGGTACTGATTTATGCTTTCTGAAACAAAGGTTGTTACCAATTAAATTCTGGAAAAGTTACACTAACTGGACAATGCATATATATATTTATGGACACTGTGAATTAAATTCTGAAATCTCTGTGGACAGTATGGTTGAGTATGGTGCAGGTATAGAGGGATGGGTACGGGTACAGTGAGGCAAGGGAGCATGAGGGGACAAGATATTGGTCTTCTTTTGGGTAGAAAATGATTACTGGAAAAGAGTGAGCAAAATAGAATAGCCAGTAGGGAATATTGAAGGGAAAAGTGGAAACAATCTAGTGAGATCCTTGTATAATTGTCAACGACTCTCGTGATCGTAAGTTTCCTATCTCATGAATTGAAAATCTCAACGAATTTAAATTAAGTCATTCTCAAGATAATCTGACTATATTGAGTTCTAAAATAATAAGAATCAATGAGCCGGAGTAAATTGCTTGCGTAGTAAATCATTGAGTAAGAAAGAGGAATTTTGATGACACAAACACCCACTTTTTAAAATCCACCAACGTTTATTTTGGGAGCCAACAGAAAAATCATTGAGGTAATGTTTTATTTTAGGTAAAATGTAGACATGAAAATAATTCCGAGGTTACTAAGGAAAATAAGGAATTACCATTGTACTCGGCGAAGTCAAAAGAAATTAGATAACATGCACATTAGGAGAGGTTTTGGGACTTCTTCCAAAACATCTACGACTGTGAGAGAATAAGACCATGATTTTGAAAGTTCGAAGAGATATAAATTGCATGGGTTCGAAATGTGACAAACTTAGGAAATAAAATCTTAGGGTTTTACTCCAAAGCCAACTGAAGATGGTGAAAAAGTAACAATCATAATTGATCTTAGCACATAAAACCATATAAAACTTAAATGTCACCAAAGAAAATATTCAATAGGAAATAATGAATAAAGCTTTTAAAAAAATAAAATAATAAATAAATAATAAGTATCCTACTTATATAAATTTCTATTGAGATGTCACACAGAAGTTGTAATGATGATTCAGAAAACCCTTAAATATTAAATTCTCACATGCTAGGTAGATATAAATATTTTTGTGTGGGATGAAAAAAAGTATGCCAAATTAAAACTCTTCTTCCTGACACTTCTTGTCCCCTCTAAAATAAAATTTTGAAGAAGAAAGAGAATGTTCTAGGAACATGTTCTAATAATAAGTCATTACCTGTGGATGATAAATCTAGAATATAAGTCTTTTGTAGATTAAAAAAATACGAAAATAATGCAATATACTAAGATGGGGCTCCAAAGTGAACTTCACTAAAATAGAGTAGTGGGAGAGTGGAGGACCAATAACCCACCACACATAGAAGATTTCTCTTTGAATTAACGGAAAAAAAAAATAATGATGTAATAAATACGCAACATATATCTTAAGACCATACTTAAGTATAGATATTTGAAAATTTTAAAAGTTTAAGGTATACTTGCAAGAGCTAAAACCAAACATTACCACTTGAAATAAATTCCAAACCAAGTGTAAATTTGAAGGACAAATTTTTTTTTGACGGAGAAGTATGTAACATCACAAGAAAGAAAAAAGAAATAAGAAATTGAGGGTAAAAATCTCATCCATAATGGACGACTATGATCTAACTTTACCCACTATATAAAGGGCACTGTTTTTACACCAAAGAAAAAGGAGGGAAAGAAGAAGAAACCCTAAGAGAGAGAGAGGCTGCCGATGGATGGAGAGGGAGCAAAATAGTAAGAAATTCGTGAAAGAGAGGAGAGCAACCAAGCAGAGAAGCATCGCTAGCTGAGAGGAACTAAAAAGAGGAAGAGAGTCCACTCAATTTATTTCCGTCGTGCAAATCCGAGAGGTAAGTTCATTTCAGTCTCCAGAAACAGATGGAAGCAGGCTGTAAGAAAACTTAACAGTAAATGTAAAATGCATATATGTGTACTGGTATGTATTACATTGTCCGAATTTCACTGTGGTTATGGCCGAATGATAGGCTGAGGGAGAGAGCTCAGGTGAGGCTAATAGATTGAGGTTCTGAGTTTAAAACTGGGCCGGGTTAACCAAAATCTAGGAGTGAATTTCTGAAGTGTATAGTAGCCAGGGAAGGGAAAAGTTAGAGATAGACAGAGAGAACATCGAATGAGAGATGAGTGTCACAAAGAGGGACAAGAAGGGATTCTGGGTAGGCATAAGCATGAACAAAATTTGATAATTGATACAGAAGAGAAACTTATTGGATGATAGGTTAGCTGAGACGGTTTTGAGGTGAGTTGATGTACTTTCAGGTGAACCATGCATTTCAGTGACAAAAAATCGGTGAACGTGGGTGAGGACAGAATAGTAATAATGACGAATGAGCATGAAAAGAGTTTAATATGGGGTCCTAAACGATAGGGATGGTAGTATGGGATAATGAGGACACTGGTGACAGAAGATAGAAAGTAAATACTAATCAATATTAAACTGAGGCTAATTCATATTTTTCTGTATGTTGTTTCTTATTGTGTGGTGTGTGTGGGGGGGGCATGTGCTGGCAGGAGAGATGGGAACCAGCTGACTAAAAATCAATCAGCAGAGTGGACCGAGATAATAGAGGGTCCGAAGGGAGTGAATCTCCCGAATATGTTCTGTATATGACGCCAGAGTTGTGGCCTAGAAAGAGAAGGCCAGAAGGACCGTGCCTGGCATGCCGAATACACCTGTGTGTGTGTGTTGTGGCCTTAGTGTTCTGTGTGTGTACATTATTTGCTGGTGTGAACAGTACAGGTAGAGAAATGGACCGGTGGAGCGGGGTGTGAAATCTGATAGAAAATTAGTTAAAATAAGAGATAGATGAGGGATAATCATGAAAACAAAGTATGAAGTTATGAATGGGTGAAATAAGTAATTGTGTTGGGTGATTCAGTTGACAAATATATATTACTTTAATGTTTTTCAGTCGCGAGATAAGAGTTATTGTATGTGTATGAAAGAGATGAGGGGAAATCATGGAAATAAAAGTTGAGATACTAATAAGTTAAATAGACATCTATATTGAACGATTTAATGGATATGTATACACTGAATGTTTTTTTTTCATCTGCTGGACAAGAATAACTGCATGTATATAAACTTAAACATGTATGTGAAAAAACAGTGCGGGGAAGCAGCTTAGTTCTGCAAATGGATGAACATGAAAGTAAGTTGAATGTCGGTTATTCTGTTTAAATTGTACAATATGTTATGGAAATTGTAAAGTCTTGATAGTGGCTGGAAGAAACTTGCAAGATGAGTATAAGAAGAAAATTCAGGTAAGTGTTTTGAGTTGCGAAAAACACCTATTAGGGTGGATGAGTTTCTGCATTGTAAAATAGATTCTGGTTGCTTGAGGTGTTGGCTTGAACTTACCAGCGTTTTATGCTCATCCCAATATCTAATGTTGTTTTTCCAGATCAAGTAAAATAGGATGAGGATCTTGGTCCAGTCAACATTCTTTTGGAGGCATAAAGAATAAAGAAGCTAAAGTTGTGTGGGAGTGAAGTATGATAGAGGTTC